TTGTCTCTTCTTTTCCCTTTTGGGAAGGTAGAGGGGTTAATAGAGAGCATCTGTGATTTGTTAGTGGCCGGCCTACCCTTAAGCCGTGACACTGTTTTAATTGAAACAATTCTTAAAATCTAGAGCAAAGCACGTCTTCTGGCATGGGAATAAACTCGTTTCCTGACAGAAGCGTATTTTACCCCCAGAAACAGCCACAGCATCCTAACATGCACATACAAATCATACTTTTTACTTCTGAATGACCGTTTATCGAAAATACACATCTCTTGCAAAAAGTCAGCATTAACGTAGCATAAGCCACTTGCATCTGCATATGTGTATTTATTCATTGACCCCACCATTAAGACCAGATGGAGAACAAAAGCAGCAGCAACAGATTTGCCGTCCATTGCTGTGCAGAAGTTTTCTTCTTGACAGAGGTCCTGCTCTGGTTCTGTTTCACCTCAGGTTTTGTCTGGGAAAGGTGCACTCCCAGCAGCCCGAGTGCCACACAGGTGTGCTCCAGCACAGCGTGGGGGTTCTGCACACGCAGGTTGCCTAGTGCGTCAGAGTGTGGTGTAAGAAATCCAAATCTCTGTGCAGTCCATTCGGTGGCACCTCAGAATTCCCTGACTTACTTCTTCTGCTGTATGTTTTTAATTATGTCTTTGAATTGCAATTATTATTCATCACTTTTTGTTTGCACTTCTTCATGCGATATTAGCTCTAGGCAACAATGCTGAGCTTGCACTTGGAAATCAATACAGCATTACCAGACATCCCTCCAAGCCAAAACAGAGAGACCTCTTTTCCCCCTCTCTGAATGTATAATTTCTGTTCAGCTCTGTGCGCTGAGTTTAAATGCCTTGGGCAAAAACTTTTACCCAACATAATTACGGGAACTTGTCCCAGTCTTATGGACTATATTTTGATATGACTCCAAAAGTTACTTAGCCAGTGTCGTATGAAGGCAAGACATAACAAGTTTCTATTGTTCTCTGAAAGGATTTAGATGCTTAATACTGTTTTGAAAATGTACAGGAAATGCTGAGCTTAAAGTGACTGAGGCATTGTCACCTGAATCACTTAAGCTCTCCTGGAAATGTCCTTTGTTTAGAATATAAAAAGAAAGTATCTGACAATAAGAGTTGTAATAACACCTGATTAAAATAAGCACTTAGAAAGTTACTTGTTTTCTTTCCAACATCTTGCATTTAGAATAATTACAGGTGTTTAAAACAGAAGATGAATTCATGTCATAAGTGAAATCTCTTGAGTGTTCCTCAGGAATCTGCTTCTAGAGTGTGCATTGTTTACTCTTTGGGATATTGGAAGTTCCTACTTTTCTGAGGTGAAAAAAAGGTGATCTCAAAGAAAGAAACTGGACCAAATTGTGATCTGATAAAATATGTTGTCCGTGTGAATTTCAGTACTTTACTAAAATTAAGAAAGCAGTTGGGTTTCAAAAAGAAGGAGCCCACCAAATGAGAGCCTTGGTATTGTATGTAGGGGAGATGGTCGCTTATGCTGAACGGACATAGTGTCTGGCTTTTGCTCGGTGGGGAGCAGCACAGCACTTTGGGCATGTTAGCTAAGAGTGTTAACAGTTCCTAACTGATTTAATTGTTAAGTGTCTCAACATAAAAGTACTTTGCCAGGAGAATTAGTAATTTCATGGCGTCCGAGTTCAGCTTTGGAGAGACAGTATTAGCAAAGCAGAAACAACATGGAAGAACAGCCCACGTTTGACAAAGGTGGTCAAGGCAGGATTGCTGCGGTGCCTCTCTTAGCCGCTTGAGAGCACTGAAACACGTTTTTGGAAGCATGAGGGTTGTTGTGTCCCTAAGAAAGGTGTCCTGTGGGTGCACACAGAACAGAAATACAGTATTTTATCATTTCTAGACAGCTTCTGAGTCCTGTCTCACCACTGAGCAATAATTATGGAGAAAGAAAGCAGTATGGTTCAGCTGCTGTGCAGATGCTCTGCATGGGGTCTGGGGAGTGCAGCCATTGCTGAATTGTGAGAATTATGAGACACAGAAGAATTATGAGAAGACCCATTCTTTGGCTGTGATTCAGCTTCCAGTAAATGGACTGGGATTTTGCTGGTGACAAAGGTTACGTGCTTGCAGTAAGTATCTGTATAGCACTAAAACTGGTGCCAGTCCTTTAGGACACACGCATACTTTTATGGGCGTGCACATAAGGTGGTTCTTCCCCACCTCTCCCCATTCTTGGCAGATATTTTTAACATGCTTACCTCCAAATTATATCTTTGAAAGAAGCCGGCTTGTAAAAATCACTCAGAAAACAGGAAGGCTTAGTGTTGTAAGACAAGTCTGAACAAAACCTGTCCCCTTGAGAAACTTTGTCTCCTTTACATTCTGAGGATGAGCTCTAACAGGCTGTGTAATGCAGTGCTGTGGCACGGGCAGAGATGGCAATAGGGAGCAGAGTGTGGTTGGAATAGTTGTCATCTTGCACAAGAGCTTGCTCAAACAGTGCCAGAAACTCGCTTTTATCCTGCACCGTGAGCAAACATGGGCTGTTTGTGCAGAGTATGGAGTGGCTCCTTATTTGAAAAGAGCAAAGCAAAACAAATATCAAAACATTTGCTCAGCTTTATTTTCTCAGGCATTCCCTGCTTGTGTTCCAACCATTCCTTGCTACATCACTGTTTATCAGTTTTCGCTGCTTATTTAAGTTAGTGAAAAATCTTGTTCAGTGCCAGATTCTCAGCTGACGTGCTGTCTGGGAACCACCGCTAGTAGGAACTTCTGTGACTAGCTGTTGTTTGTTCATTACATTCTATCTGTGAATTTTATCACCCAGGCCTCTGAAAACACTGAGTCTGGCAAGAAGAGAGGAAGAAAGTAGATCATTTTTAGGACTGCTTCTATTGGAAACCATCTGAACTCACCAGAGGCAAGAACTTGGTGGTGTAATTAGCTGCCCCCCACAACTCGGCCACCTCTTGCCCTTCTGAGAACCCACTACATGACACAAAATATAAGAAAAAGCATCCTCTTTTTCAGTTCTCTGTTTCAATGGGGACATTAATAACCCACAATATCAAAGTGAAAACATTTCAACAAACATTTATTAGGTACATAAACATAAGTATTTCCTATAAATAAATAAATAAATAAATAAATAAATAAATAAATAAATAAACAAATAAATAAATATTGAAGATCAACCACATTCTTATGCAAAAGTAAATAAATATGCAAAAGTAAATAAATAAAAATTAATATAAAAATAAATATATAAACAAAGTGCTTTTTTCTAACCGAAAGATGGCATTAAAATACATGTTTATACCTTCATAACACTGATTCACAATAAATAATATCTTGAAAGTGATGGTACAAAAACGGATGTCTTCTTAGAATTTTGGCTTCTTAATTTTGCAAGCTCCGCTCTTCAGGTCAGTAGCCCACTCTGAGTGACAGTGAGCTAGGTACAGTTGATCCTACCTATCCGTGCTTTCCTGGAGAGAAGGAGTCTCTGGTCTTTTCCTAAACTGTTAGCAGAAAGGGAAGGTGTCATTTAGTGAAAGCTCTGCTGAGAGTGCACTGCACTGACCCAGCTGTGTTTAGCAAAAATGACTCCAGAATCGTCTCCATCTCCTTTCCCAAGCCATGTTTTCTGCAAGCTTTTTCTGGTGTCAGTGGTTCTCTCCCACATAAGGAGACATCTTTGAAAGACTTAAGGTGCTGTTGTCAAGGAACTACAAAACCAGGGAATCCATACTTTCTAGATGCATTAGAATTGTGAATGCAGGAGGCAGGAGGAGGTCAGCTGCCAGAAGCTGCATGCGCATCTCTCCTGTTTTTGCCTTGATGGAAGAGGTAGGACATTTTTCTTCTTCATCTTAGGACACTGTCTCAGGTTTGGTGTTTGCCCTAGAAAGAAAGAAAATGGAAAAGGAGACAATTAGAACTAGTCCGTGGAACAGGTATCACTCGCTGGAATCAGATGAAATCCACCACTAAGGGTTTGTGCTTCTGTGTCCAAGCCCCTGAAAAGCTGTAACTGAACCTAAGGGACACCTGTATATTGGGACCCTTTCCCAAGTACTCAGTAACTGTGGGCTTCCATGGTTTGATGCTTCACTTGACATCTCTTGGGCCTGATCTTTGCCCCACTCATATAAATGCCATTAGTTTTGAAAAACTGGTTGTTTCTTTCTACCATTGCAAGCAAGAGAAGACCAGTCAGTTAAGCCTGGATTTCCTGAGCGCTTGAGTTGCAGATTTTCAAAATGCTTGTGCCTTACGAGGCATGTAGCCAACATTCACATGGGTGTGCACCACAGTAGGAGATTGAACTTAATGCTATAATTAGACCTCAAAGCAATCGCAGTGTTTGTCCCAGTTAGTGAACACAAATGGTAGTAACTGCCTGAGGAGACAGAATTTTTGAGCGCTTTACATGTTTGCTGGCCCATTTAAAACTCATTTTTTTGATAAGCCGTGCACATTGCGAACAAATGACTCACTTGTCCAGAATTGCCTTGATGATCAGCTTCACCCAGGGAGCAGTGGGCTCCAGGCACACTTCTCTGCCGTCTGTCAGGGTAGCTCTGCAACAAATCAAAAAGGAAGGAAAAAGGTCTGCTTAGGGAATTCCAAGGCAATTTCCCTTTTCTCTCATAACATCTTTCTAGGGGTACACTGACATGTTCTCCTTTACCTTAAGCTGTACCAGCTGAGGCTGTAGCCTAACCTAAAGGGCTTTTTTTAAATGGTTCCATATCTTCTCTATCTGTTTGTTTGAATGCATTAAATCATTTACAGGACTCTTGGTCTTAAAAATGGTTTCTTTTTTTTTTTCCCCAGCTTGCTTTCTATTTGTGATGGTGTTTAACGGAAGAGCTAAACCTTTCCATCTTGATTCAGAAACTGTACTGCCCAGTCCATAGGAATTTTGTTACTGTAAAAGTTCTGGAACTGTGACCAGATTATATGATTCGTATGCTAATAGTATTTTTTCGTTGACTTGAGTAGAAATGTGATCATTTTTTTGACCTAGCCATTAAAATTCATGTTTTGATCGCTTGCTCATCATGACTCCATGCATTTCATTATCTTCTCATATGCTGGTCAAATTCAGAGTTTTAGAAAGTGATTTGCTGTCTGATGACTGTGAGTTTAGGTCAAAATATCGCATGGGTTGTTTAAAAAGTAGAGATTGGCAAAAAAACAACACGCAACTTATAACATGTAGCATGTCGCTTGCAAGAGCAACAAGCGTTGCTGTTCTGCATTCTGCGTAGCTGTACCTGCTGGCTTGTTATATCTTTCAGAGAACAACTACATCACCCTTAATGTAAAATCTGTTTCCTTCTTGTTAAGTAATCGGGAGGATTTTGCAAAAGCACTTACATGACTTCAACATTCTTGCAGTGAGGTCCACTGGGGATGAGGTTCACGTTATGAATGAACTTGGGGTGGATGAACTTGGAATGGGTGCCTATGCACTGGCACCGCAGTTCAATCGCTGAGCGTGGCAGGGCCTTACCTGTAAAACAAGAAGCAAAAAAAAAGCTGGACTGTAACACTGTTTCCGCAGGAAGCACATGTTCTTTTTGCTTTCTGTATTAGAAGAGCTATTTGCTGCACTTGTAAGACAGCATAGTAGCTCCCCCATCAGCATTTACACTAGCAATTAGTTAGGAGAGCTTTAGGAAGGGATTTCTTTACCTTTTGTTCCAACCGCTGAGATCAGGAGAAGAGTCAGGACAGCAGCCAGAGCCTTGCCCGTCATGATGCAAGAGTGTTTCTTCCTTGCGTCGCCTGGGTCTAGTGCTGTGGTGAGCTCCGGCAGCCCCAGGGGTGGCCAGTGCCCCTGCTCTGGGACCTGCTGTGTTTATATACTGCCTTGGCCTCCCCTGTGCGCTCCAGCGTCACGGGTGGGTCATACCCATGGAAATTCCGAACCTGGGAGATGCTGCTGTGAAATGAGTCACAGGTGAGTGGGCAAGCCCCTTTCCCTCGATGGCCACAAAATTGCTTTTCATTGGCAGAAAACACTGTATTAATTAAAGAAATATAAAAAACATAGAATATGTGCAAAAATACCCTGTACTTAGCTTTGCGGAATCTATAGGGGTTTTGCAATACTGTATTTCTTGTGATTATTTTCTTCTGTACCTTCCTGCTTTTAATGTTTTTATGATATTACTCTTCATGACTTTCCACTTCTGGAGGAAGGCATTTAATTTGCGATTTTCTTTCTGTGTGCTTTTGGGCTTTGATTTTTTTTTTCATTTTAAGACATGATAGAAGTAGGAGCTAATACTTTGTAGAAATGGTGGGTACTAGAAGCAGATTTTAATGAGCTCCCCTTGTCTTTATATGCAATTACATTTTCAAAAATCTTTCTTTATATGCTGAGATAATTCCTGCAGAAATACTTACAGTACTTTTAGATACATTAAAACCTAGCATCACTGAAGTAAGCAAGAGAATAGTGACTTTGTCACACTATTGAGAACATATGGAATATATTATTATGATATGATTAATTGCTTTGCCTAATCATGTGGATATTTTTTGAGGATGACTGCTTCTTCTGAAGCCGAAACGTCTTAACTGTTTGCTGCTTTGAATTTGGACAGAGGAAAATTCTAGAAGCTGCTGCAGGATTCTGCTTCTGAAATAAATTTAGGCACTTCCACAAATTTAAATTGAACCCTGTAAAGAGAAGATTTCTTCTGATTATGATAAAATTAAAGGAAAAGTGAAGATGGGATCATGAAGGAGGATTATTCAGATAACGTCAGAGATGTACAACCATTTTTATTGACAGCAGAAAATAATACTAAAACACAAGTGGGCTTTTGGGGGGTTAAACCTTAAAGAATCCTGTTACTGTTCTTCTGCCAGGTAATGGAAACAGCCAAAGGAACAAAGAATAGGGCCAGATATGAATGAATATAGGTTTATTGTTCTCTGACTCATCATGAAGACAGAGGTTTATGTGTGCCAGACTGATTTCCACTTAATATTACTGTATATATATCACTGTCAGTAGTTTTACACAATTAAGTTTATAAATAGTCTTAGTGGTTGTGTTCTGAATAGTAGCCTAATAAGATGTGTAGATGTGGGATTAAGCACCCGTAATTTTTCCTGTAAATTTCCGTCTTGCAGTGAACGTAGCTGGATTAGCTAACATCAGCACATAAGCACTTAATTATAGCCCTTCTATGTCAAACCACAGGTCTGCCTAGGGAGCATCCTCTCTTCAACCATGGCCATTGGCAGACATCTAGGAATGTGTAAAAAAAGACCAAATGTGTTTGAGACTTATCCCTAGTAGTTTCCCACTCTGAGCCTGGTTTCATGTGCTGCCTCCTGATTCTTCTATGGGAAACCAAGAAAAAGGTATCAGTAGATACTAATCCTTATCCCTGTTTTCCACCTCCTTCGCAATTCTGTAGGCCTTTATCGCGTCTCCAGGTTGATCTCTTTTTTACGAATGTAGTCCTGTCGCCTGACAGCAGCATTGACTGGGTTATTCGTTTTTATTTCCCCCTAACACACTGTTTCCATGCACAGCAGACTGTTTACAGAAAAGCACACTAGAGTTTCAGTGGGAATGTCTTCTGGCCTGCATACAAGGAGAAAATGGAAATATGAATTGCATTGCCTGAGGAGTGTAGACCTCTTTTCCAAATAAACCCAAGAAACTGTTTTTCATCTTTAATTTCATTAATGATTTTCATTAACTCAAAGATAAAATTATTGCTGCTGTACCGTATCTGCAATGAAAGTGTTATACTTTGTCTTCTTTGTGTAAAATCACTGCCTGTTGTGTTTTAAGGAAGCTTTATTTCTGCTTTCTTGATCCAGACAGGTAAGAAGGTTGTGGCTCTTGTATGTTACAACTCAAATGTAAAGAAAGGGCTTAGAGGTCTTACATCTACCATAGATGACAAAATGATTACAGTATACTAAATCTTGATATGGAGCAATGGGAACAACTGCAGAGTTCAGAGCTTGTGTTTTGCCTTGTAATTTAAGGGGTAGTGAGCTTCAGACTGCAAAAAATCCACAGTCAACAAAGATAAAATTCCTTTTGTGGTTACAGAGATGAACCATTAATTAAAACATTACGTTTTATTGTAAACTCTTGTCATTTGGGCAAAAGAGAGGAGCTGCTGTTTCTGTTTATTTACCAGGACCCAAGAGACACGAGCCAGGTGGATTAAAAGCTGCTGCATTTCTAATGCATACAGTCTCTGGCTGAAGAGAATAATTCCTAAGCCTTAAATATGGGTATCATGAACAATATCTGGTAGCCTCCAGCTAAATAAACACTTTGTTGTAAGGGTCATACATATAGTTACTGAGAAGCCTCAGTTTTCTTGGCATAAGAGTGCCTTAACACCTACCAAGTAATAAGATTTATGAGAAATGATGGGCTTATCAGCAATATGTGACACAAAGGAATGCAGACTACCATGCATCCGACTTTTGACACTGATGTGTGGTACAGAAGTCCCTGTCCAAATCCATTGCCCTCACCGTGGCAAACTGGTACGTGCTAAATTAGTTTGACTCAATCTGTAGGTGCTAACGCAGTCATAAATTTCGCTAATTCCACTAATCAAGACTCCTACATCCATTATGTTGTAGCATAGCAAAGGGCAAGAGAGAGCTTGAGGTACCTAAGTGTGAAAATTGGAGTTTCTCAGATGGTTTTCTATATGCTTCTCCCCAACTTTCCCTGACTTGCGAGTGACCTGGAACTTCACATTTCCTTATGCTCCCATGAGCAATGGGGGGTTTCTTTCCCCTGGGGATCCCCTTGTACTGCTCTGTCCTCATCTCCCTCAGTGGTTGCTCACTGGTATCTTTAGAAATCCTGCCTCATGCCTGGAATTTTAGATCCAAACATGTAAACGATCATTTAGAAATAGCGGAGCAGCTGAGTCAGTGAATGTGACAACTCCTGTTGGGTTTTTTTTAAAGAATATTCGGTTCAG